TCAGAATTCTGAGATTAAAGTCAGAATTCTGAGAAAAAAGTCAGAATTCTGAGATTAAAGTCAGAATTCTGAGAAAAAAGTCACAATTCTGACTTTTTTTCCCATATTAAACTGAAATAAAATTAAAAAATCAGTTAACTTTTTTTTTTTCAGTGGCCCTAATCCTCTTCCGTACTACTGTATGGTAAAATAAACTTCAGCAAAGTGCCCAATCACAGGTTACTATGGTCGTTTATTAAAGGAACCAATCTGATTTAGACATAAACTGGACTGAATTATTCCACACTGGTTGTCTATTTTTAAAACACAGTAAGCATCCCATGAGACTTTTAGCCAATTCCTATTTGGAGGCCGGTTGGTTGATCTTTCAGTGTGAAAACAAATAAAAGTAAAGGGAAACATAAGGGCAAAAGTCCCAGTTGTCTTCTGTAGTTTAGATCACCACATCAGCCTCAGTTTATGTGTTTCTGTAAATATAAAATCAGGCATCAGGAGCTTAGTTCAGACCAACACCGGGAAAATGGATCACATCATAGCAGTTGCTTAAATCCCTACACAAGCTCCATATCTGGGAAAGGACAGAACATGATATAGAACGGTATAAAACTATTTTTCATTACTCATCAACAGACTTCGATTCAATTCAGTAATATATTATTAATCCCAAAGAGAAATGAACTGTATTTGATTAAATGAGTCGTTTTGTGGAAAAGGCTGCACAGAAAGAAAAGCAGCAAAGGTAAAATACACAAAAACCTAAACTTTTCATCATAAAGAGCACTTAAGAATATGATTGGAAAGTTGTTTGAAGGCTACAATATTAAAACTTTGCGTCTGAAATCCACACAAGTTTTAATAAATGCAACCTTCTGTCTCAGACAGCTGACTGACCTGTTTCCTCTGAAATACAGTACGTCCTGTTGTTCTAATTGGGTCAATTCTTACAAAACAAAACAACCTGGGGGGCTATCAGTGGACCCTCGGAGGGCAGATGAAGTGATTTCACAAGACAAACAAAATTAAAGCCGTCCACCACCACTGCAGTGTTCTCTCAGAAGAGGCCAGAAACAGGTCGCTCTGCTCATTGTGCAATAAAAACAGGGTGCCCAGAGACAACATGGACCGGATCAGTTTAACTCCACCAAGCCAACAGACTGATTTCATCAGAGCCGTCTTACCAAGAGAGCAGCACATATGGGACCATGGATGATGTAGAGCAGCGATGTCTTGGAGCTAATCCAGCAGCTACAGAGGAGTAAAGAGAGAAGTTTATGCAACAATATCAGCACCGCACAGTACCGGCCTATTTACAACAGTTCGGCACAAAGATTTGTCACGTTGAACATTATCTGTAGTAAACGTACTTGTCGTTGTAGTAGTAACTCCGAGCAATAGCATGAATGGAGGCAGGAATAAGAGGAAAGCCTAAAAAAGGAGCAACATTTTAATTAGCTTACAGAGGAGTAATTGTGTTTTCAATAGACCTATTTGTCCCCACTTACCCCATCCTAGCAGATAATACCACATCAAGTGCTGCTTCTCAGCAAACACAGCCACGACGATGAGAGTGTGCAGATAAATCCCCTCACAGAGCATCCAGAAGTAATTACAGCCAAACAGGTAGAGGTGGATAAACTGGGACACTTTACAGCTGACCTGAGGAAACACAAAAACAGGAGAATATCACACAGGAGAGTTGTGTCTCAGACGGATCCTTTAAATGTTAACTATTAGTCCTTTATAGTCAAATCCTTTGAAAATCCACATTTCAAGCCCATAGTGTTATTGGAATCCAGGACAAGACGTTATTACCTTTGTAACAATGTAATGTAATGTAACTTACCTGAAAATATTAAGAAAAATAACAAAAGTGCTTCAATAAGAAATTCATGAAAAACTCTCTGAGTGTGAAAGAAACACTTTTTTTTTTGGTCCAACATAACCTTAGAGGCATTAATGCTGATACTGGCAATTACATTTTTTTAGTTTATAACCCTAAATATAATTGTTAACTAGGCCTATTAACTTTTTGACTTAATTTTTTGACTTTTTTTTTCTTTACTTTCCAACTTTTTAATTAACTTTTTACCTTTTAAACTTTACTTTTTAACTTCCCAATTAGCTTTTAACCTTTTTTCTTGACTTTTTAACTTTTTAATAAACTTTTTATCTTGATTTTCTTTTTATTTAGTAATTAGCTTTTTACCTTTTAAACTTTACTTTTTAACTTCCCAATTAGCTTTTTACTTTTTTCTTGACTTTTGAACTTTTTAATTAACTTTTTACCTTTTTTCTTGACTTTTTAATAAAGTTTTTATCTTTTTTTCTTGATTTTTTTTATTATTTTGTAATTAGCTTTTTTATCTTTTAAACTTTAGTTTTTAACTTTCTGATTAGCTTTTTACTTTTTTTCTTGACTTTTGAACTTTGTTATTAGCTTTTTACCCTTTTTCTTGACTTTTTAACTCTTTTTCTCCCCAACTTAATTTACAGTAGGAAATATATAATTCAAGGGCCCATCTAATTGGTCAAATGCCAAAATAAGATGAACGGCCATGTAGCAGTATCTTTGCTAAATGGCTGGATTTAGATCTTGTGCTTCTAGACCTCACTGAGGGATGGGGGGGACTCCATTTGTAAGGGGTAAGCAAGTGATCAAAAACTGTAACGTGCCCTATAAACAGTTAACTAGAAAACTAACTTTCAGATTAAAAATAATCATATATTATCCCCAATTATTTACAATTTTGGCTTCCCAGCTAATGTGTTTTCAAAGATCATTCAATTAATGGTTACTAGTGATATATATTACTTATCTGTGATTTTAAAATGAATATAGAAGGATTTGTCAGTATTCTCCCTGCTTTTTAGGCCCAGATTTGAGCAGCAGTGCAAGCTGAAAGAACAGGGACGTAAACAGTGAAGATGGATTAGAACCAAATAATGAACTCACTGGATTTCTTTGCAACAGCTCCTGGTTGTTTGCCACTGCGGTCAGCCAAATGATAGTGATTACAGAGTTCAGAACAAAGGAGAAGAAGAGGTTCTTGTGAAGAGTAATCCTCTGGCAACTCAGACTTCTGCAGGAAAAATAAGATATTTTTATTCACTCAGACGAGAATCAACCATTGAGAGCTAAACTTAAAGTAGGCTGATATCAGGGACTTACTTGAAATGAAAGAATATAGCCAGAGAGATAAGGAGGGAAACCAGAGAGAGTCCATGTCCTATGAGGGTTAAGTAGAAATGATTCATCGCCGTCTGGAAAGAATTGGAAGAAAGATATTCCTCAATTACATACGGTATGTCCTCAAAACCTCTTCATTTTGTGAGGCAACAAAACCCTGAATCACCAGCATTTTTGCAACATTATTTGTGATGTCCACTCACTGGTAAATACCGCCTCGTGGTTTTTAGGGCCTTCCTAATCTTTTCATTACAGCTGCTTTGAAAAGTTGAGCTTATTGCATATATTCAGTTGGATGTATTTGAATAGCAACTTATTAAATTCATAATTTTCTTAAGCATCCCTGGAACCAGTTAATGTACAATCCTGAAATGATGTGTGCAATTTGGAGGTGTGTGCATTCCTCTCCAGCTAGGAGCCAGATACGTTGGCATTAGGAAAGATTTTGTTTTTGTCGCTGCTTGGTGAAATCCTTTCAGTCGACTAATGTTTAAAAAAAAAAAAAAATTACGGGTTAACCCATCATTTTCAGTGGGAAAGAGCCTTTATACATGAATGGACTAATTCTAATAAAATATGTTTTCAATAGAAATATGGAGAATGTATTTCGTATAGACAGGGCTCAGCAGAAAGTGCTTTTTAGATCCGTGGTTAGGTTAGTGATATGCTAAGTCTCAGGGTATGTTGTGTAAGATAACTCTCCCGATGTCTTAGTAAATTATTTTGCAAAATCTTTTGGAAATTTTGCCATCACTAGTGGGGTCTGATAAAGATGTCATTCATTGAAGTCTTCGTTTGGCCATCCAAACATGATGGCATCAATCTTTGGCAACTTTCAATGCCTTGTACTTTTTTTGTTGTTGTCGTTTCTTTACACATTTACTAATTTTAGAAATGGAAATATTTTGAGCTAAAAGCCAGGTCAACTTTGTGGTGCTATGTGAGTTTGGTGTTTAACTGTTTAGTATCTCAGATGCTTGAAAAAGGTCAGATCTTCAATAGTTTATGCAAAGATGTCCTTTATGAGGACATACCATCATGCCTTCATTGGTGTGCTCGGTGCAGCGTGTGTAGTTGCTCCATGTCCGGTTGCTGAAGGGATGCACAAACCACTGCCCACTTTCCGTGCAAATCTTTGTCACCATTTCTGAAAGACAAAACAGAAGTAAAAAAAATTTACAAATAAAAAAAAAAAATTATTTTTTTTTTTTTTTTTTTGGTGGACGGTACTTAATATTTCCAATGCCATAACAAGCTTACTCGGGATAATCATCAATGAATCGATGCAGCCAGCTGGGCTCAAAAGATCTCAAAAAGAAATAATGGATGGGATCCAAACAGTCTTTAGGAACCCATTTTGGTAATCAATTACAATTTAAGGATATTATACCTGTCTCTAGTCAAAAAAACAAAGTGGATGCCATGCTTGACAATATGTCCCTGTAGTTTTCTAGAATTTCTTTGATGCTGTTTTAGTTGAAGTTGCCTTAAACTCTTGGTAAAAAAAAAATAATAATAAAATCCATGTTTATTGTTTTTTCTGTTCGAAAGAGCAGATCTCACCAGATGGATCAAAATCCTGGAAGTAGTCAGGGCAGTGCTGCTCCGATGTAACTCCTGCTTCGGTGTCGTCCCAACACAGCCATCCATCCCAAGTCCGATTACACATGGATTCTAAAACCACAGACATTTCTTAGTTGGGCTGCTTTGATTGAGTGATATACGCATTTATCAGCCATAACATTAAGCCTTACTAACATTAAGACTTAACTTCTAATATTTGTGGGTCCCCCTTTGGCTGCCAAAACATCTCTAAGCCCTCAAGGCATTGACTGTACAACAGCCCTGAATTTGTCCTCTGATGTCAAGAACCAAAATGTTATCAGTAGATCCTTTAATTTTTGGAAGTTGGAGGGGCTTGATGAGTGAGACTTCTTTGTTATTCATATGCCCCAGATGCTTTATTGAGCAGAGGTCAGGGAAATCTAAAGTCTAAGGAATCAATTCCGATTGTCCAATGTGCTCCTCAAGCAATTGGCAGAAGAAACCATCCTACAGGTCTAGAAGGAATTTTATGTATTATATACAAATCAAATAAACACCCGCCGTGGCAGAACAAACCATCCTACAAGTCTGAAAGACTTATGTATTATATACAAATCAAATAAACATTCGCATTGGCAGGACCTAAGGTTTACTCACAGACTGAAACCCAAATCATCATGCAGTCAATTCATCATCCGCCTTTAGTATATGCTAATGCTAACTAGAGACTGACATTTTTTCGGGAATCCCACGGGTCACGGGATTCCCGTGGGATTCCCGTGGGATGGGAGTCAGTATTAGTAACGATCA